GGGGGGGGGGGGGGATATGCAAATGGTCACATGAGAATCATGAAAAAGTAGGGAAATCTTAAAAGAACAAACATTTATTAAAAAGTAGAAAAGCTGCTGTATTTTCAGTATCATTTGACTTCACTCAATCAAAATATATGGTTTGAACCAGCATTAAAACCTCTTATTTAAACATTTAAATCCAAAACCTGCATTCAAACAACATGTATTGCTACTTTGGACAAACCACGAAGCATCTTCAATGCAGAGTTTGACATGTTATATAAAACACATAAATTAAAAATAGAAATATACTAAAATCAGAAGAAGCTGAAGTGGATGCTGATAAAATCAAAATAAATCAGGATCTTGCAACACATTGTTTGTCTACTGCATTACTCACACTGGCTCATAAGGCTTCATACCAAACTATTAATTTACAATTGGTGGAAACCATTCATTCAACCTTTATTTATACAGGTTAGTCTCGTTTGAGTAACGATGACTCAGTTTCACGAGAGACGTTTATCCAACCATCCAACTATAATCAACCATAATCTTGAAAAAAATATCCATAACATGATAATTTAAACATGTTCTGCTAGACCAACATATGCTCCATTGAAGCAGCTGCTGTGCTGCAGACCGAGCGAGGGGTGAAGCAGTTTACTTAAACTTGCTTACGGGGCTGTTCCATCTTTCATGAGTACATCTATGTGAGAGCTTGGCTGGGTCTATAGGAACTAACTTTTCTCTTCACAGCCCCCACACACACCCCTGACCAGCAGATTTTTGGAAACCCTAAGAAATTGCACAGAACAGAGCATTAAACTGCCCTTGCAGAGTTCTCCCCCACGTTGGTCAATTAAAACAAAACTGATGGCTACAAATTGCTGTGTGTGCAGAACTAATCGCCTGCGTGTGGGCTGCAAACCTCCTTCGCCTTGCTCAGCTCCACTGATTAGGGAGTTGGAAAACCACAATCAAACATCAAAAAAATCCTCTGAAAATACGAATTCCCTGAACAAAACCAAACCGTGAACACGTAAAAACAATCTTGGGCTTCAGCCACTTAACAAACTTAAGCGTTTTATTTCTGTTTTAGCAAGCTCGCAAGCCGTACGAGGTGCGAGACGTTATCGAGCAGTATTCTCAGGGAAACCTCAACCTCATGGTGCGCATCAAGGAGCTTCAAAGAAGGTGAACTGAATCAAAATAATATGGGTTATATCCTCTGAGTAATGCATGCTGCTCATATTGTAGGTTCTGCTTTTTTTGCCAGCAGGACTAAAACACCAGCAGACACACAATCCCCACAAAACAACTTTGAACACAAAACAGAGGAAGTATGAGAGAGCAAACAGAGGGAGTAGATTTTATTCTAACTTAAGCTTCTGATTGTTTCTCTCAGACTAGACCAGTCTTTAGGGAAGATGACTTTGTTCCAGGCAGGTTCAGGTAATAATTCACTTCACTTTGCACTCAGAATACACAGTCTCTTTGAATCAAACCACAGATCTAATCCTCCACTTTTATTGTTTGCTTGTCTTATGTCAACCTCTGAAGACCGAGCCAGAGACAAAGGAAACAATTCTATTGGATCTAGACTCGACAGGATGGAAGAGAAGGTAGGACTTGTGCAGCGTCGGTTAAAAACAAACATTTTCAATCAATTCATCTCATGCATCTTGTTTTGTTCTGATAAAAAAAGTAGTCAACTAGAGAAATTGTTTCAATGCAGTGCGAATGCTGTGTTCATTGATGGCATTGGCTGAAGCTAAAATTTAAGTGGTTAAAGGCTAAAACAAATATAAGTGAGGATAAAATTTGCAGAACACGAGCTAAAAGCTGCAGAACAAAGTATGATTAAAGCTAAAATTAACAGAACAGATGCTAAAAGTAGCAACACAGACAATAAAGCGCACATCGATGCTAAGGTTGGCAAGTCTGAAGCTAAAGGCTAACATGGACAGAATGACAAAGTAGCAGAAGCTAAAAAGAAAAAAGCAACAAAACTTTAAGTAAAAGCTAAAAGTGGCAGAAAGTTACAATAAGAAAAACAAAAATAGAGCAAGTGTGCTGAAGCTTAATTGTTTTTAAAGGAATGGATGAGATAAATGTATTTCTAGGTTGGAATTTATTTTGAACGTTGTTAGATCTTCTGACACGTACAACAAACAAAGTCAAGTCGGTCATAGAACAAAAAGCCTTACATGTACTCTACTGTTCACTAATATTACCTTATTGTAGTTATTGTGCAGAAATCTGGGGCAATAATTACAAACTGCACTACAGGCATTAACAGTACTACTAAAAAGAGCAATAACAATAATTCATAAGGTGGGATATTTAGAAAGCACTAATATACTATTTGTAAAATCTAAATTATTAAAGTTCATTGACATAGTGAAACTACAGACAGCTCTTAATTCTTTAAAGCCAAAAACAAACAATTACCGGAAACATTCAAAACCTGTTTAACACTAAGGAGCAGCTTTATAAGTTAAGGGGGAATCACAGTTTAAAATATGCAAATTCAGAACTACAAAGTACTAGAAAAAAAAGGTGTGTATCAGTAAGTGGAGTCAAACTGTGGAATAATTTGAGTATTGAACTGAGACAATGTCCAAACACAAAACTGTTCAAATTATCATATATATGATTATTGCTGGATATAATATATAATATTATTATTCAATTATTGCTGGTGTTTTTGTTATTGATGCTAGATTTATTTATTTATGTATTATGTGAATTTATTTGTGAAGTTAAAGAAATAATAATTGTTGATCTACTATAGTTAACCTAAATAGATACTATATGGGAGGCTTAACTATGTATGTATGGATTATACATGTAATAAATTTAAGATTATGTAAGTGTTTAAGGAGTGGGGATTTTGATAAATTTAGACTTCTACCCAATCCCTTGATTATGTAAAACAAAAGTTTTGACATTATGCTTCATGTTGTATTTTTTTAAACGTTTTAAAAGAAAAAAATATATATAAATGACAAAGTCAAACCTAAATATTGTGAATGAAGCCTAACGTTTTTGTATATGAATCACTAAAATACCACAAAGTAGTGAAATTATTAAGAGGAGTTTTGAGTTTGAGTTCTGAATCAGCTTTCGCACAATTATTTAAATTAAGTTTGTGTAGTATTTTTTTTTTTTTTTTTACTTTTATAAGAGTGCAGGAATTAAACTTTCCTTGAGGAAGATCTTGAAAACACACTGATTTTTCATTTGATCAGATGTTCATATAAATATGTTTGGATATAATTAATCAGATGTTTATCTTTATATATGTAAATAAATATATAATTTGTGTTTACTTGGCCCTGGTATCACTGGTACAAATAAACAGCTTAAACAAATTGAACCACCTCTGCATCTCACAAAGAGCAGCTTTATGTTTTCATTTTTATAGATGAATCAAAAGAAACCTTCCAACTGCAATTCTCTACTCAAGTGTTTACAAGCACACTTGAATATATAAAGAAAAATATCAAATATATTCCATTTCATTTAGAGTAAAACTCTGATTTTCCTGGAAATGTGAACGTGGTGGAGGTTCTGCTTGATATTAGCAGGCTGAGTGCAAAGTTTGGTTAGTTCGGTTGTAAGAAACTGAAATTGCAGCTGTGAGATTATTTTACAGAAAACAATAAATGATTTTGCTTTATTTATATCTGCTGTTAATCTTAGATTACTCAGATGGACCAAACTCTGAACCGCATCGCCGAGACTCTCGCATCGCTGCTGGACCAGAAGGATGTTGGAGACGACGAAAGCAGAGGCAGGCTGAGACCTCGGCTCAGACGAACATGTAATGTCCTCCCCAGCCAGGACAGCCTGCCAGGCTACGATCAGCTGTCCCCACCCCCCTCATCCTTCTCCTCCTCCAACAACACGAGCATGCTTTGTCCCAACCCTCCACTCAGCTCCACCGCCAGTCAGGATGAGAGCTGCTGAAAGCTGAACACAAATGTCTGCTCCTCTATAGGAGATGAGTGATGAATACTGAATGAACTTACCTGTTGAGCACATGCAGCTGCATCTGCTTGAAGTGATGCCATCGTGATTGTTAGTTAAATATTCTCATTGTACATGAGGACTGAGCATGCATTGTATGAAAAAAAGAAATGCTTTAAAACTGATAAAAGGTAAATGTTTTCTCTGAGTTTTTTTTTTATTATTCTATATAAATTCATTTAATCTCATTTATATTAAAGATGAGGAGTTTGTTTACTCAAGTCATCCAATAAGACAAAACTGATTATGATCAATTTTATCAAAGTGTGTTTGTTTTATTTCGTTTCGTCAATCCAAAATGATAAATTATTAGAAATGACCGTGTGAGACATTAGAAGGGGAAATTGGAAATACCTTCTGTCCATCCATCCATGAATGTTTTTAGAATATAACCTTGAAAAATAAGTGAAGTACCAAATTCCCTTTTGGTGTTTGGCTGCATCTAGGTGTAAGAAAGCTTTCTTGCAAAAAATAGGCTGTCATAATCCAAGATGGCCGCTGCCATATATGTGTATGTGGCCTGGGAGTTTGAAGGTTCAGCAATGTATTTTAGCTGTTCCTAGGACTGCACTCCTCTGGACACAGATCTCTGAGATTGTTGCTGGGTATGTATATATATATACTGTATATATATATATATATATATATATATATATATATATATATATATATGGCTCTTTGCCACCTGCAAGCGCTCCTGGCCACGCCCACTTCTCTGCTCTGCACGCTGCAGCAGGAAGTTTATCCTGCAGTATGGGCTGCACAAAGCTGCAGGCAAAAGATTTTTCTGTAGCTCTGGGCTGCAGAAATGTGCAGCAGGTGCTAAATAATTTAAAATAATTAATTTTAAATAAAAATGGCATGCAGATCATGCGGCTCATCCATCAGTCAACCAATTGTGTGTCGTGTCCAATCTCATTTTGAAATACCGCCTTAGAGCGAGTCCGTGATAAACGAACCGCCAAGTAGCGAGGGACCACTGTGTATATATATTTATATAGTGACGGGTAAGGTGGCCAGTGATTAATCGATGTTGGCCAAGCACCTAGAGGTGGATAAAATGCTTGCCAGGAACCATCACTCTGCTCCACATGAGACAAGAAAATAAAAAATTAAAATACCAGTACCTGTGTTCTTATACACAGTTAAACTTCCAAAAACAGTAAGGTTTACTTGCATTCCCTGTTCCCTTCCATCCCAGAACACTCATCTCATAAACTACAAACATCCACTATTGAAATCCCTCTGCGACGGGGGACACCTCCTTGTTAAATTGACTTCAGCAGATGGATGATTTTTTTTTTCTCCCACATCCTCAGTTGCTTTTGCTTTTGAGGGGACACACTCACACGCATGCCCCTCACTCCTCTTTTTGGCTTCCATGGCAACAACCATGGACATTTATCCCTATCAGAATATTTCCTACATGAACATCTGTTGGCATTTTCACAATCACAGCAGTTTCAATCCTATTTGGAACTTTTTGTGCCTTGCTCACAATTTGTTCTGTGGCTGCACAGTGACAAAATGACTTACTATTATTAAGGCCCCAATCATCTCTTGAATCATGACACTGATGAGGAGAGACGCCAGGAACCTGACATGAACGATGCTACAGACGCAAGAGTCAGGACTTGAAGACAACACAGAAGATGACGACGGATGTGGAACAATGAGTGATGAGGATGAGGGCCCTGCTGAGGTGCTGCTCTGTTCAAAGTCTACAGCTTGGGCTTTATACCCCCACCTGTGAGAAGAGCTCAATTTTCAGCTGATTGTGGGACATATACCACCACATACTGTCTGACCTGTGCATCTGACAGAAATGTACCAGTTTACAGACTCTGTACATTTGATTGTTCTTGTTTTTGTTAGTAATACTGTTTTTATTTTTAATTTGTTTGTTTGTTTTACTATATTCAGACAGTAATTTTAGGATGTAGCTTTTTAACTGTAATTTTGAGCTAAATCCGTCCTGGTCTATTTTGATTAAGAACACAGAAGATCTTGTATTAGTGTGCTTTGCTGAATTTACAATCAAAGACACTGGTGTAGTCATTTTTGACCAGGAACACATAATTACCAAGGACTAAACATACTAGAAGAGTCAGAGTTTTGTATTTTGCAAAAAGTTTTTATGATGGTTTATTTATTCAAGTTAATGCAAAAAGACTAAAACGTAAAATCTGTCCATGCTGTCTGTCTGTTAATGTGAATAGCTGAGAAAAAAAAAATCACTAATATCCCTGGGGCATGAAATAAAGTCTGAGATGATAGATCTTTAAAATTTCAAGTGCTTCTTTTTTTTATTTCTGTCCTTTGAGGTCTCAAAACAACATAAAAGCTGAAGCACTCAGGAAGAATTTTTGCATGGTCAGTGTTCATAAGAACCCCTGCAGCAAACATCACAACTTGTTAACAGTTTTTGAAGTCAGCTAAAAGCTGATTTGGAGGATTTTTTTGTTTGTACTTTTTGCTCATTTCTTTTGTAAAAGAGTTCATGATTTCTATCCTGGCCTGTCTTCCATGCACTGTGCTTTGCGATCCATCCCCAAGTTTTTAATGTTGTAAAGGTCAGCAGACTGTGACGTTCAAAGTTTGGTTTGTGGTTAAGAACATGTCAGCATCTGACATTCTCATACCGCCTGCTGCAACTCAACCCAAATCATCATCGATCCAAACCTATGCTTAAACCATGTAGAAGTGTTGCATTCATGACAATTGTTTACTCCGTTTTTCTACAAGCACATAATTGTTTCCTATAGTTAAATAAATCCACATATTAGTTGAACTTCTGATATTATTCATTATAATGATGAAGATGGGTTTTCTTTGCATCCCTATTTCACCTACTTCAAATGTTATCAGCCATTAAATGGCCGTTATTAGTTGTTATCATCCCCATAGGTTGCGTTCAGACTGTCCTTCCTGTACCTCCTAGTACACATGTGACAAACTCAAGGCCCGCAGGCCAGATGTGGCCCGCCACGTCATTTTATGCGGCCCGCGAGACCTTCAAAGGTCTGATTTTTGTATAATAAATAAGTCAAAAGGGTGCACTGACAACAAACTGCATTTCCCATAATGCATGCCTATTATGTTACTTGCAAAGTAATGACTTCCCACCACTAGATTGCAGTTTTTCCACATCAACATAATTTTCTGAACAAGTGGAATTGAGAAATACAAACGATGATCCCAAAATGTCAAGGAAAAGAAAAACTGATGCAGATGGAATCTGTTTCAAGAAAGATGTGAAGGTGAATATGTGGTTGTGCTTCAAGGAGAGAAACCAGTATGTCTTTTGTATTATGAGGCAGTCGGGGTTGTCAAAGAGTACAATCAACGTCAGCATCGTGACACCAAACACGGAGCTGAGTATGTCAAAGTGAACCTTCAACCCTAATGTTGTTATTTTGAGTTTTATACTTATTAAATGTCCATCCATCCAATTATCTTTTACCCGCTACTTCCATTTTGGGTCACGGGGGTCACCGGTGCCCATGTCCGGCAAGCACTGTGCGAGAGGCAGGGTACACCCTGGACAGATAGCCAGTCCATCACAGGGACACATAGAGACAAACGAGACAAACAACCATTCACTCTCTCACTCACACCTAGGGACAATTTAGAGTTACCAATCAGACTAACATGCATGTTTTTGGTCTGTGGGAGGAAACTGGAGTACACGGAGAAAACCCACACATGCACGGAGAGAACATGCATTACATGTATGTATGTATGTATGTATCAGGTCTCTCTGTAAATGAGTCCTCGAGGCACAATGGAATTCACCTGTTTAAATAAAGGTTGAATGAATGTGTTTATGCAGGTTAATGTTTTCTATAATAATACCATCTCTCATTAGTTGCATGTAAGACCCTTACAAGGCTGTGTGCAGCCATTTGTTTTTGATAAAATGCTACACCTGTTACATCTTAACAGCTCACAATTGCTGGTAGGATCGTTATTCTGACCCTCTTAACAATGACAAAAAGTTTTGAACCAAGTTAATGTCATAACTTGCTATTTTTCCTTATTCACTTGGAAAGTTTAATCATTGATTTATGGAGTAATGTGGATTTCATAACCAGACAAGTTAAAAGGTTTTATGTTATAACAGCAGACATATTTTTCTACATCTATGCAAATATATAGGTAGCATTTGTAAGTTGAATAAGGTAAAAAAAATAGTTAAACATTAAGGAGTAGTTGTGTTTATTTAATATTACATTTCGTTAAATTTAGCTACATTTATACTGTCTTACATTTACATCTGGCCCTTTGATGGCAACCTGGCAACCGTTGTTCTGATGTGGCCCTCGGTGGAAATTAGTTTGACACCCTTGTCCTAGTAGGTTTAAAGGTGGGTTCTTATCACTGATAATAGGGTCAGGGGATTAGGTTTACTGTCAGGATTAGGTTAAAGCTCAAGGGTCAGTGGTTAAATTTAGGGTCAGTGCTCTGGGTCAGGTGTAAGGTTGAGTTTTGGAAAAGGGTTAAATAAAGCTAACAAAAAAAAATCCAGTTTTCGACGCTGGCGAAGCTGCATATTATCAGCGATAAGAACGTACCTTTAAACCTAATAGGAGGTAGGAGAGATAGTCTGAACGCAACATATGGGGATGATAACAACTACTGTAATAACGGAAATTTAACGGGCTGATACATTCGAAGCCGCTGCGTATTCTGTGAGTCATAGTTGTGTAAGCAATGAGTTGCTAAGTTTTCCTGTGGTCCTTTTTTAATTTAAAAAGGCTACCAGCAGTTTTCTTTAATACTCCTTTCTCTCATATCAATCAATCGTTTTTTTAAGCAGCACCTTTTCAAGTTCAAGGCAAATCAAAGCACTTTACAGAAACAAAATTCAAAGAACGTAATAAAAGTAGCCAAAGAACAAAACAAAGGTTGAAAACACTCAAAAAACAGCAAATAGTTTA